TGAGAATTATGTTCTTCAGACAATAAAGTATATTTTGATTGATTGATACATTTAATATATTAACAATAACATAACGCACTTAATCAACAATCATTTTCAAGGAAGCATTAAAAACGAGATCTATGAAATGAAGTGAACATGGATTGCTTCAACAAGAAAGTTATATGATTCAAATTGTTTTTTTGTGTCAACGACATCGACTACTTTGGTCATTAGCCTCGTGTTCTGGGTAGGCAATGACAATTTGTTTTGTGTTCATGGAGACGACTAGCTATACTTCTTTTCGTGGTTCCAATGTAGACCGTTAAGGTAGACCCGCAGCTTCAAAGGATCCGGTATACTCCTGGTGTTGCTAACGGCTCTCTGGGATCCTTAGCTGACCTTAGACTCTATTCGATAGTTTTGTTGACCTTAAAATCCTCCCAATCCGGTCTGTAACGCCTTTAACATTAGGATGGAAAGCTGTTTCCTTAACGGTCCACCACAACGGCTCCCTTAACGGGCAATCTCAACGGCTGCCTTAACGGTATACCTTAATGGTCTATATTGGAACCATGAAAAGAAGTGTAGGTACTAGTCTCTCTGAACACAAGAGAAACTGTCGCCTCGGACAAACCAACCAACAAAGAAGGCTTTCACATTATTTCATTCAAAGATACACAAATACTCGTTTAAACTCAAAATTACTGTCCCAAGAATATATAGAAAGAAAGGCTATAGAAATTTGGAAACAGAGGGATAATTTCAGTAAAAAGGAAGATGCATTAAACATTAGTAAAATCTGACTGCCTGTCCTTAACAAGGTACACAAACAAGGTCACTTAATTCAATCAAGCCACGCCCACCAGAAATGATATAGAACCGGAGACAAATCCAACATTGTAGTTTCTGCATTGAGAACAACTCGGGCACCTCGACCGTTACCTCATCACTTTTGATAATGTCAAAAACCTGCAGACCACGGCCAAAAAAACCGGAAAATACCCTTGACTCTGTTTCAAGAATACCTATACTTTTATGTTATCGAATCCAGAAGATTTATTATTGTTGGTTCACAGTTGGATCCAGAACACCTTCAGGCTCTGGTGCAGGTATTTTCAGTTGGAAACCCAAGACAGAGATATCAACCTACCTAGGGACGTATGCGACTGTATTTCAAGCGGAAATTGTGTGCCAAGAGGTTGGAACGAGCAACGTCTAAATTGGTAGCAAATTGCCAAAAACGACTCTCCTCGATAGGAAGACTTAACAGATTGTCTCTGCTCTAGATTCCTGGCAATACTGGCCTGGAAAGCAATGAGGCTTTTAACTCCCTTGCAACGGAGGGTGCTGCAAGCAGCTTCATCGGACCATAACCTGTCATTGGCATCGCTTTAGGTTTACCCAAACAAACATTAAACACCTGGATGGCAAGAATATTTAAGGCCTTCTGGCAAAATCTTTCAGGATTGGCTCACTCCAAGGCGTTCATACACCCTTCGGAGCTTGAAATCAAATATTTGTGGGGCTGTCTGAATCGTCGTCTGAATCATCATATGCAGAGAATCGGACTGTCGTCAGACAGTGTCTCTCATCTCTGTCTCTGTCTCACATACACACTTTTGACCTAACCCTTAACACTGTTTCAAAAATACCTATACTTTTATGTTATCTAATCCAGGAGATTTATTATTATTTCTCAATCAAAAAGTATACGGGTTATGTGGTTGATACAAAAAGATGGTGATTATCTATCATCAGCTAGTGATTTTTTTTTATTTTCAGCTAGTGGTTCCACAATCGACGCCACTCAAGAACTATTAACTCTGTCATTGTGCAACATATTTGGTTCCTTTTTTTCTTCGATGCCTATCACTGGATCCTTTTCGAGATCTGCAGTGAATCATGCCAGTGGCGTCCAAACTCCCTTTGGGGGAATTGTAACAGGTATTATAAAACTTCATTCAATCCATTGTACCTTGGATCGACTTCAATTTATTTTTCCCATTATATACATATCTTTTTTTTTCCTTTCTTTCTATAAAAAAATAATCACATTGGCTTATGACTATAACTTATCATTTTTTGTATTCACAGGAATCATGGCCCTATTAGCTTTGAGTTTTCTCACGCCTTACTTCGCCTACATCCCAAAAGCCTCTTTGGGGGCTGTAATAGTGAGTGCCGTCATTTTCATGATAGAATACGAAGTTGTGAGACCAATGTGGAGATCTAGTAAAAAAGATCTGCTGTGCACGTTCGCTACATTCATAGCCTGTTTGATCGTTGGTGTTGAATACGGGATTTTGCTGGGAGTTGGAATAAATCTGATGTTCCTGTTACATTCTTCAGCAAGACCCACAGTCTACGTAGAAAAAGCAAAGGTATTTTTCCCAGCGAGTATCCAATGGGAACTCTAAGTCTTTCATTTTGGTTTTGATATAGTTTTTAAACTTCTATATAAGTTATATCAAGTTTTTCATTTTAGTTGTTGGTATTACCTCTAACCAAACTAAAATTTCCACACTAATGTGTCTTAATGTGTAATGCCAAATTGTTTTGAAACTATTAAAATAGCTGCAATACAAAAAAAATCTGGGTCGTCATCAACAAAATAGTTCATTGGAGTGGATAATATTAAATGTATGGTTTATTTCAATATTTTATGCAAAAAAAACCTTAGAGGTCCCTCCCAAACAAGATGTCTCCTCCCAAGACAAGTTTGTATGTACATATGCTATTGTTTTCGATACTTTTCCTCATTTTTTCTGAAGTTCGAATTGTAAAGGTCTTTTCACAAGAATATCCTAACATTGAAATGTTTGCTAACTTAATATATAAAAATCTTGTATCACGATGTTTATGGTCGCGCTCCTCCGAAACGTCTCGAACGATTTATCAATTTCGACCAATTCATCTGCGAATATTGCCAACTATATTTCAGTACCTAGTTATTGAGAAAAAATATACTCACCTTGAATACTTACCACAATAATTCACAGTTATATAAGAAAAGCAGATATAATAATCGTAAACAATATATTTTACCCAAAAATACATCAATTCACAATTGAACTTAACGAACAAAACAACACCCGTTTTCCAGGCTAGATATTATAAACAATTAAATGAATAACAATGCTCTCACCTGGCTGGCTCAAGTAACTGTGACTGATTAATTTCTATCCAATCTCTAGGGCCCCGCGTTTTTTTCCACCCATGTCGATAGTGGTTTCTTACAGTTATATGTATGAATTTACTGTGATGAATGTGAATTCCATATTACAACTGAATATGAATTCACAAATTCTCACTTACAACTTACAACTGTGAATTGACACATATAACTTGTAAATTACGATCAGCGTCTGTACACAGCAAATTCCCCCCATGAACACTTTCTACTCGACACAATGGATGTCATCATTTATTGCAAATTAATTTATTACTGTTAATCGAACAAAAACTAGACATACAATATTGAAACACCTAGCCGAAGTTTGATTCAACTAGTGCAACTTAAACTTGGAAAACATATCATGTATTAAAGTCGATTGAATATAGATTTGGTTAGGATATAGGTTAGATTTTGTTTTCATTAACTGACGTCTGTGATGCTGAGCACTAAATGTAGATGTGACGAGATTGCTGTCTACCGACGCTTGTCTTAATTCAACTGAGATTTCACACTTATAACTTTGAACTCACAATTAAAACTGTCAACGCATTTCCTTTCAGAAGAAATAACGAAACTTTCTATGGAAGTTCAATTATTATAGCTTTGGTTAGGATATAGGTTAGATTTTGTTTTCATTAACTGACGTCTGTGATGCTGAGCACTAAATGCATATGTGACGATTGCTGTCTATAGACGCTTGTCCTAATTTAACTGAGATTCCACACTTATAACTTTGAACTCACAATTTAAACTGTCAACGCATTTCCTTTCAGAAGAAATAATGGAACTTTCTTCGGAAGTTCAAATTTCNTAGTATGTTTTATTGAACGAAAGTCATTTCTGTATGTTTACCGTCGTGGTGGATTGCGAATTTCCAATTTCCTCCTTCTTCTTCTTATTTTTGACATACATCACAAACCACAAGAATATATGTGGGTCCGTAACATAAAACCAAAGAACAAATTTACAGTGCCATCTTAAGATCTTCAGAACCTACGTGAACCGTCTAGGGTATATGGTCTGTGACAAAAGCGTAGAACTGAAATGTACCGCAACAGAGTTGTTGAAATGCATGTGTGCCACGAGTCTATCCAATTAGCACCGACATTCTACGATCGTTTGGTCATACAGGGCCATGCGTACCATTGCCCGCTGCGTGTGATTCCCCGCCTATCCCTTAGCTCATATTATGTAGTTAAATGTCAATGTATTCAGGCAATTATAAGTTCCGCCATTTTGTAGTATTTGAAGATATTGACAATATATTCTGAGGTTGTGAAACATTTGCCAGGAGCTTCAGAAAGATGTGTCACAAGACCTCCTTTTCCATTAATTTTTTTTCCCAGATGGCGCCCAGTCGCCATCTTAAAAGTTTCATCTACCAATTTCACTCAATAAGAAAGTATCCATGCATTAATTTCATTATCCCAACTTTCAATTTTTTGAGTTGAGTCGTTCAAAAAATAAAAGGGGAGGAAACATTAAAGAAATGCACTGTATAACAATTGAACCCTTACGAACATTCTCCAAAGTTATCGCACTACACCAGGATAATTAATCGTTCACTATCCCCTCAAATATGTATTCAATCAAGTTGAGTGCCAAGCATTGCTTCTAAAAATTTCTTTTCTGTTCTAAATTTCAGGTGTTCTCATAGATTTTATATCTATACCGGTGACGGTTGGTTTTACATCAGCAACATCTGTGATAATAGGTACATCTCAGTTGAAAAGCCTTCTCGGATTGAAAATAAAAGCATCTACTTTCTTGGAAACTATTACTGAAGTTTCACATAAAATTCATGAAACTAGAATGGCTGATCTCGGCCTGGGTGTGTCTTGCATAGTAGTG